TATCCAACAAAAGTGCGGGCCAAATCCCATATGTTGCAGGACAGACCCCATGTACCCCCAATCCACTGAATCAAAGGCCTTCTCAATATCTAAGGAGACCAGTGCTCTAGACCCAACAGTAGTATGAGTGAGTTGGAGATTTGTGAAGACCCTACGCAGGTTGGTGTCAGTCGATTTCCCTGGAATAAATCCTGTCTGGTCAATATTGACCAGGGAGGAGATAACCTCTCCTAGTCGAGTCGCTAGGATTTTGGTCGCTTCATACATGGAGTCTGGTAAGCTTCCCCTCTCCAAACAATGACTATATAGATCCTGCAGGCGCGGTGCCATCTGCTCCAAATAATACCTATACCATTCCGCCGGGAGGCCATCTGGACCTGGGGCCTTCCCAGCCGGAAAGGAACCAATCGCCCTCTCTATCTCTCGGACCGAGATCTCCTTTTCCAAGGATTCCCTATCCAGTTGCCCAAGACAGGGGAGCCACAGCCCCCCCCCCCCAAGAGGGACCCCAGGGCGGCCCCGTCATAAGGCGCAACTGGAGCATAGAGCATGCTATAATATTGTCTAAACTCCTCCATTATTCTGACCGGATCCATCACCCTCTCCCCCAATGTTGTTAGTATACACGGGATATTTGTTAAGGGATGATGATCCGCCACCAACCTGGCTAGCCATTTACCATTTTTGTCACCCTGTTCAAATCTCGCCTCCGCTGCCTCCCGGAGAGAGCAGCCTGTCAGGGTTTGAAGGTGCACCTGCAGAGCTCTTCTCGCCACTCTGAGAGCCCCCAGGAAATCCTCACCCGGGGAAGTCGCATAGGCACTCTCCTCCTCCACCTGCTGCAACTCCTCCCTTTCTTTGGCAAAGTCGCGCCGAGACACTTTGCTGTGGGAAATATATTCACCACAGAGATGCGCTTTAAACGCATCCCAGACTATGGCAGGCTCCGCCGACCCCACGCTGTGGGCCCAATATTCCCCCACCAGGGGGAAACTCTGTTCGCCACCCCCTCCTCTCCAAGCCAGCCCGGGGACAACCTCCATCCCCGCCTTTGGAACGGCGCGGGGAAGGTGAGCGTGAGAGAAAGATGCGAGTGATCAGAGACACCACCCGGCAGGTAGCCAGCCTCCCACACCAACCCCAGAAACAGATCATTTGCAAAGGCCATATATATTCTGGAGGAGGATTTGTGTGTATAAGATACACATGAATATCCCCACCAGGGTTTTTCCATCTCCAAACCTCTAGTAGAGAAGCAGCCTCCACCCACCCCCCCCCCCCACC